ACGGCGGGCGCGCGGAAAAAGGTGAGTCCATACCTACCCTCTGGTCATAGAAAGTAGACCAGCCTCTTCTACTATTTTAAGCTTTTGTCTTCACCTATCTCGAAGGAACCTCACCCATCTGGGGCGATAGTTGTTCAGCCCCTACAGCTCTCTCTCTCCCTTACTGGTACAATAATTCAAATGACTCGCTCACAGCTGAGGGCAGCCCGAGAAGCAGCGGCTACAGTTACGGAGGCTCATGTCTTGCTAACTAGGTAGAGACTGTGCAAGGTACCAACACTAAGAATAATTTATGTATTATTTTATATATATATATATATACTCTCTTAGGCTTCCATCATTATTTTGATAGTTATGTTACTTTCTCTTTTTCTAGGGCCTACTTGTCTCGAAGCGTGGCAATGTCTCAGCCATTTTGCCCTCAGACCCAGGGGGTCCATTAACAACTATTGGACTTTCTTCAAACTCTAACGATGATAACCTTTCCATTACTTCATAGGTTGTTAGGCCAAGAGCCCACAAGCTAATACTTCTAGATGCTGAAGAAGGGCCGGTTGTTGAGACTCAAGATATGGAATCACGCCGACTTGCCTATTGAGAGTTAACAAATCTTATCTACTATGGAAGTTGTATAGGGTGATGTAGCTATTGAGCATGCTGAGGACTTAGAAGTCCCAGACCCTATTGATCCTGTTATCTGTTACGACCCAAACCTGCTCCTATAGGTTTAGCATTGTAACCGACCAGTAATCCTTTGAATAGAATATCATGTAATATAAGGGGCTGCGGAAGCAATTATACAAAATACAATATTTATAGAGTTGTGCAGACATACATGGGACAGTAAATTTAAAACTTATGTACATATACCCACATATGACGTCATGTACACATCCATCTTACATCGTCATTAAACATATAATACAAAAGAACTGTTCACTTAAAACAACCAAAAGTCTTAAACTTATAATTTGATTCACAAAACTCAACCACTAACTCTTTTCGAAACCTCCTCAAGAGGCACAAAGGTTAGTTGACAAAACAGAAGTCCAGGCGATCATCACTGAGCCTGGTCACGCAATTGGTCACCTACATAGATAAATATTGTAGTGAGCTAGAGCCTAGTGAATAATAACAGAGTAAAGATTTTAATGAATGATGTCCATTACAGATTCAGAAATCAGATTTCAAATCTCTTATCAAGTCAAAAACATAATCATGTTCGTATTGGTATCAGAAATAGAGTCATATTCATATTCAAATCATGCATGGTATATCCATTAGCATTAACAATTCACATTGGTCATTTATATCAAGTTCCATAATGAAACCTCTGGTACCGGGTATCATATAACATACATAGGCTATGGTATTGTTTCCTCAAAGCGAGGGCCTTATGACCATAAGTCACAATATTATTTCCCCTGAGCGAGGGCCTTTGCTAAGGATACCACAAATACATTTCAAAGAATTGGGCCATCATTCATATGATCTCAAAAATAGCCTTTTGTACCATTTGTTTCAGAAACAGTTCATATCATAACATAATGTTTAAAAAGTATTTCATATTGAACATAGCTTTACAGAATTATTACTCATAGATAGCTTCGATAGCAAAACAAATGGATCAAATAGCTCACGGCGCGTGACCTATACAAACATATAACGAATACACATGTTGAAACACACACTCGGAAAATACTCAACTTATTTCTTTCCTACCTTGGTGTGTTGCTAGCCTTTATCCTCATTATTATATCTTAATTAAGGCTTAGGAATGCCTAAGATGCAATGAGGATGCCAAAATGTGCTTTGAAATACTTAGCCAAATTTTCAAAAACATGGCAGCCCGCTCGAGCACAACATCGGTCGCTCGAGCGTAAGACTAAGCGCAATTTCGGTCGCTCAAGCGGTCTGCAAAATTTTGTAAACTTTTGGGAGCACGAATTCTTCGCTCCAGCACAGACTCCACTACTCAAGCGGAGAGTGCAAATTCTGAAATTTTCATATTTGCTTTCCAAGTTCAAAACTCAATTTTAAACCTTTAAAACACTTCCTTTTGGGCCAAAACTTGAGAAAACACTTGTAAACTTGTAACACATCAAGAATTAAGAATCATTCAGCAAAATTAAAGCCCAAGAGTAAGTCAATTGTACAAAACGAAGCTTGCAATGTAGAAAACAAAACATGCATGAGTTGACATGAACTTCAACCTTTCAAAACATGATCAATCAAGGTAAAATGGTATGAAACTTAATGAATTTCCAAAACCAAGCTATGATCCATGCACTTATAAGAGAATTCTTGAGTAAACATCTTCAAAATACCATAATATGTACATACATGCATAATTTGCTCCCAAGTCTACCTCTTTAGCTAAATTCTGAAGTTAATCTACTTAATTCTCTTGAACTTATGCATTACACTCTAATTCCCTTTTGATTCCACATGAAAATGAGCTCAAGGGTACAAAATATGAGTTGAATTCTTACCTAAGGCTTAAATTCTTTAAGTAGGAGTTTAATTCTTTTGGATTCTCTTCAATCTCCTTCAAATCAAGCTTGAATTCAATTTTTTTCCTTCTCTCTCTCTCTTTCTCTCTCTCTCTCTCTCTCTCTCTCACCGTTTAGGCCCAAAGATGAGAAAATGAGAGTGTAATGGAAAAGTCTAGCAATTAGAGTAGCCTTATATAGGCTTGGTTAAGAGACTTAATTAACTCTTGCTTAAGTTAATTAATTTGTATTATTTTGTTCTAATTATTTCGTTCCGAATCGAATTTCAATTAAACATATCATAATTTTCTAAAAATCCTAAGTAACACATAAACCAAGTCAATTTCGTAATCAAATACTAATGAGGCTTTCAATTCGCTTACCGAAATAGAAGTACTGACAGATATTCCTACCATAAACAGATATAAATGCAAATAACATATAACACATGCAATTAATGAATAATTCCCTCTTAATTACTTATTGAGTAATGCTAGAGACCTCAAAAATTCTACTAAAATTTCTATCAAATGTCTTACATGGGGTGTGGGACCCACATAATGTGGGTCTCATGTGGGTCTCACACCTATGTGAGACATTTGGTAGAACTTTTGGTAGAATTTTTGGGGTCTCTAGCATTTTTGTTACTTATTAGGCATTCTTAATCATGGTCTAATAGTTAATCATAGGTCGGGGTTGTTACATTATCATTCCAGACCTTTTGGTTCATTCTGACCACTCTTTTGTTGGTGGTAAAGATTTTGTCCACAAAACCCCTAAGGAAGAGCATGCAGTGAATGCTTCACTTGAAGTTAAGCCTCCTCATATAGAAGTTGCTTTTGGGGATTCATCTCACTCTACTGAGTCTCCTCTTGCTTGCCAAACTATAAATTTTGCCACCCAATTGTTGAGGGGAATGAAGGCACAACGGTTATTCCCAGAATAGAGTCTCCACGCTTGATCCATCTTGCAGAGGTGGCTATTAACTTGGTGATCGCTACTACTACTACTACTATTGCAGGTACTTCTGATCTCATTGCCTCAATGACTTTTGAGCAACTTACTGACCATTACCCTACTCGTTTTTTCGAAGTGCCAGCTAACCTTGGAAGGTCACAAGACTTCTTTGCAGGGATGGATAGTACTGTTGTCCCAGATCTGAACGTTAGGGATTATCACATGTACGATCTTCTGAACTGTTGGGTTTCAGTTGAGGCTGTCCTCATACTCGTCCGCATTCAAGCGCTGCATCCTAACACCTTCACTGTTTTTGATGTTCTAGGCTCAATGTTGCAAACGACATTGTTGGATTCTTTCAGTGGTTTTGTTAATGATCTTGCCGCCAAGTAAGTTCTAACGACTTCAAGCAAGTTTGTGGAAGGTACTGAGGCAAACCTCAGCGGGTTTGAGAGTAGTGGCCTGAACTTGTCTTGGATGAAGGAAAGGCACTAGGTGGTTGATGGGTTCATTGAGCACGCCACCAACATAGCCATGATTGCTTCTTTGGAGGAGACCATCCAAGATTGTGAGGGCGCCTTGAAACAACATTGCCAAAACCTGGCTCGGTTCAAGAAAAAAGATTTTGCTCTTATTGCACAACTACACCAAGATGTTGGTTTGACAGACTCCTTGATGAAGGGTCTAGTATGGTGTAATTTTCCTTTGGTTTTTTTCTTTTTCTTTGTCACAACTTCTTTTCAAACATTGTAATCATGTTCTGGAAGTTTGACTTTTATGAAAAAAGTATGGATGTTTGGTAGTACTTCTGAGTTTCATTTCATTGCTTTCTTTACATTTCTTTTACATAACCTCTAAAGAAAAGATAAGCAAAACTCTTGCTATGAACAAAACTTCATCATGACTAAGTCTTTACACAGATAAAATTTGACTAAGCATGAAAAACTTTCTTCACACTAAGTGTTGGGAAATATTAACAAAGACTCAAAACTGTTTGTAAACAAAACTAGGAAAAGTATTCATTTACATACTTGGCATTTACAGGGCCACCAAAACTGACTTCTTACGGCACTATATCAACGACATACAATAAATGCACGCCGTAGTTTCTCACTTTTACGACTTACTTTTTTTGCATGTCGTAAATACTTTTCCAACCACGGTCTATCTATTGTGTAGGCGGTGAATGCTAATAATGATAATTTTTTTACAACTTACAATATTAGTTGTAAATAATAAAACTTTCTACGACGTGCATATGTTATGCCGTTAATACATCAACTATACACGGCATGCATATATCAGTCGTTAAAAATATTGAACATTTTACGGCGCACAAAAAGTCAACCGTTAAAAATATTATACATTTTACGGCTCACAAAAATTCAGTCGTTAAAAAGTAAACTTTTCACGACACACATATGCTAACTGTTAAAAATATTTTAATTTTCACGACACGTAATTTCTGTTGTGAATAACATGACAAAAAAAATAATAATAATAAAAAAATAAAAAATAAATAAATATCAAAATTGATTAACTCTTGGCTTTTTACAATCGAAAGGAATAGGGTTGTCAAAAGGAGCATAGAAACGAGGGAGGGAGGGAGAGAGGGGAGAGTGACTGACCACACGTCAGTTAAATCTCCCTCTCCCCGTTAGTTAAATCTCTCTCTCCCCATCAGTTAAATCTCGCATCTTTGTCCTCTCTTTCAAGGGTTTCAGATCTTCGACTCTGTTAATGTTATATCTTCATTTTGTGCTTCTTTGTTCTACTTCTGTTCTGCTCACTTTTCACCCAAAACTCTTTGATTTTCTGCTTTGCTTTGCTTTGCTTTGCTTTGCCCTCAGATCTTAGACCAAAAGCCTCCATCTCCAACCTTCACTATGTTGAATTGTGAGCTGAAAGATGATTTTTTTAATTTTTATTTTTATATGTTGGTTAGTTAAGATCAAAGTGGAAAGTTACATGCTAAATATGAAGAATTTTGTTTTTGGAATCTAAATATGGTGTTTGATATTGAGCAACTGCTTTTGATTTTTGACGTATCGAATGCACCATACCTGTTTGTAAATATGTCTCACTGAGAATTTCTTTTCATGTGGATTTTGTATCCTTCGCCCATTTGATTTCATGCAATTCTATGTAGCTCTGAGTTGCGAAGAATTCATCAGAAGTTGGATATTGCTTGAGTTATTGGTGCATTTATAATAATGAACAAGTGCCAGATAAATTTTGTAACTTCCACAAATACGCACACTATCTATTTGAGAATGGGAGCTATGAGGAGGCTATGGAATAGTTTTTGGCATCTCAAGTAGAAATCACATATGTGCTTTCTTTATATCCATCTATTGTCCTTCCGAAATCAGCTGTGGTGCCTGAACCGAAGAAGTATATAGACATCACCGGAGATACTCCATATCTGTCAAGAGGCTTGTCTGGTATATCAGATGATATGGAATCCCCACCTACTTCACTACTGTTGGAATCTGATGAGAGTGCTGCACTTGAGTCCAAGAAAATGAGCCATAACACGCCAATCGCTCTTATCAAGTTTTTGCAGAAGAAGAATGGCACTTTTAGTTTTGTAGAATAAGAAATGCAGGAAATCAGAAAATGGGATTTCATTATTTAATAAAAAAAATAAATAGGTATTAATCCTTGTAAAAAAAAATATTTGTAAATTTTGATTTTAGTTTTTTTGTTTTGTTTTGTTTTGTTCTAGGTGTGTGATTAGATAATGATGATTGACGGCCATTGGGCCTAATGGATCTTCATAAGGTAATATCAATTAATCGCCAATAATATCAAACTATTTTTTTCATTTTTTAGTGACTTTTGTGATCTTGAATTTCTATATTGCTTCTTTGTATCATTTTTCTGATCGCAATCAAAATGGAACAGAATATAAGTACTCATTTCATTTGGTTTGTTCTTTTTTCTCATTTGACAATGCCATTGCCTAATAAAAAGAGCAATTAGTAGAATATGTAAAGAGAAAAAAAAAGTTCAAATTTCTACCCAAATCTATGAACCAAACACAGCCTAAGTGTTTCCTTAATTGCGCATCTTTTAAGAAAGCTAGAATTTAAAGTGGGAAACATGTTTATGTAATACTCCTAGTGTGATAACCATGTTCCGTATTATGCTAATTGGTCCTTATTATAAATGTGATTATGTGTTTGATATGATTTTGTGTGTCATTTATGTGAAAATATGTGGTTTTGAATTTCTATCTGTTCACCGTAGGAATATCTGTTTGATTATCTGCTTTGGAATTTAAATTGAAGGCTTTATTGACTACAGAAATTGAAATTGACTGCGCCATTGTGATTGACATAATTTTTAGAGCCTACGGTGACATTTAATTAAAAATTGATTCGGATCAAATTAATTAGATTAAATTAATGGGTTAGTGCTCAATTATTTAAATATTAATGAAATGTGTTGAGAGAGGGCTTGTATAAGGGACTCTACTACACTTTTATTTCATTTGTTTGAGCTCAAAGCTGAGAATCACTCTAAAGAGAGGGAGTGAGGATCGGTTAGAGAGAGAGAGAGAGAGAGAGAGAGCTCAAGTTGATGAATTGCTCAAGAAGCTTGAATAAATTGAAGACCAACTCAAGATTTGATCATAAATTGGGAAGATTGAGCTTCTAGGTGAGTAATTGGTTAGGAATTCATGAGTTTAATGTTGTAATTTTGTGAATTCAAAGTTAATTGATGATCAGGAACAAGAATTGTGTTATAAGTGATGAAATTGAAGCTAATGTGTACATGCATGCATAGAATTACCATGATTTGGCATAATCAAGCATGTATTAAGTTGAATGTGGGAATATGAGCATTGAAACATACATGCAAATATAGTTTTGTTGATTTTCATGACTATGAGCGTCATTGGTGCTATTTGAAAGGGAATTGAGGTCAAAAATCTAAATGCATGTTTGGTTGTTGGAAATATGGAGCTTACATGAGATTTGAAGCCATGAGTTTGAATTATACAAAAGAAGTGTTGAATGATTTGAGAATGTGACCATGATTTTGAGCAATTGACCTCATCTTGCTTGTATACTCATGATATATAATGTATTTGCATGTTTTGGAACCAAAATTATGAGTTTTGAACCTTTGGAGGTCGAGTTTGAGCTCAAGAACAAGTTCTGAAAAACCCAGAATTCTTGACGTCCGCTCGAGCGGGGGAACCGCCGCTCGAGCGTAAAATATGAGCTCCCAGAATATTTTGCAGACATTGATGTCTACTCGAGCAGGGAGATTCAAGCTCGAGCGTCCGAGTTCACGCTCGAGCGTAAAAACGAGGCAACCAGTACTTTTGCAGACTTAATGGGTCCGCTCGAGCGGGCAAGTCCACGCTCGAGCAGGAACCCCTGTTTCTGAAATTTTGTAAATGTGTTATGTGTCTCGTTTTCCGTTCTCTTTCACTTCTAAGTACTCTTAGGCATGCATTGAGCATTATGAATGAATTAAAAGAATAAGAAAGAAGCCTAAAGAGGAATGTGTGAATTAAGAACGGATTGAATTGTTTGTGACCCATTGTATTCATGGAATGTGTAGGGTCGAGCTCCAGGTCAAATCATCCAGCCGATCACTGTGAGTAATATCTTCATAAAGATATCTGAAGTATGTTATTTGTCCAATTGCTTACTCCTATGTAAGTCTTATAAGTTCATTAATTTGAATGGTGGACAAATGTTTGATGTGCCAAATGTATAGGCCGAAGGCCAGTTTGACACGAATGAAAGAATGAATGGGCCAGAGACCAGTCTGATATGAAAGATAGAATGAATGGGCCAAAGGCCAGTCTAACATGAACGAAATAATGAATGGGCCGAAGGCCAGTTTGACATGAATGAAAGAATGAATGGGTCAGAGGCCAGTCTGACATGAAAGATAGAATGAATGAGTCGGAGGCCAGTTTGACATGAACGAAAGAATGAATGGGCCGGAGGCCAGTTTGACATGAACGAAAGAATGAATGGGCCAGAGGCCAGTCTGATATGAATGAAAGAATGAATGGGCCAAGTGCTGTATGACATGAATGATGTGAATGAATGGGCCAGGGGCCGTATGACACTAATGAATTGGGCCCGAGGCCGTATGATGTGTTTGGAGCCGCAGTCACTTGACTTATATTTATATACATGCTAGATAGAAATACGAATTGGGCCCAAGGGAGGACCAAACCCAGTCTCAGTGAAGTTTGTGTGGAGCAACCAAGGTTTTGAAGAGTCAGCCCTTATGTCTCACGCACGAGACTCGTCTTCACCCTTTTGCTATCTTGTTTTATTTTGTCATGTTGGCGAGGACTTTGGACACGTTGTATATAGTTTTGATTGGCTGACCTAGATTTGAATGATCCTGTATGTACAGAACTTTGAGTTAGTACATATTTTGATGTGAGTTATTAACATGTATATGTATGGATTATTATGACGTGCCATATAAGCACAACGCTATAGACAAAAGTTTGAAATTGCTTCCGTTTAGCCCCTTTACTCTGATGAGTTATATTTGGAATGGTTTGAGGCCATAGGTAATCCTTTGATTACTGGCCGGTTATGTCCTTAACCCATAGGGGCGGGTTCGGGTCATGACACCTAGTTTTAGTTTGACATTAACTTGTTTTCCATAAGGAATGAAGTTTGTAATGCCATGTTAAGAGGGACAAGTCTAAATCCAAATAGGTGAAGTGTCAAGATGATACGCTTCTTTGACTTAAATGTGTTGAAATTCCTGTAGAAAACTTCTGTTATACCCAATTTGAATTAATGTACAATGCATTTGGAGCCAATTCTAATTAGTTGGAGACATCGTTTAATTGATAATTTATGTAAATATAATCTTTATGTGGTTGTACCAATGCATTTCATATGAAGTACTTTTAGAATGGGGCACATTGGATTTTCTGAAGACATTTTTCATTATTTGGTCCTGAATCCTATAACACTATCCTGGACTAGTTCAAGTTTAACTTGACACTCAGCGAATGATCACAATCTTTGCATGCCATTCCATTTGGTACCCAAAAATTGGCAGCGAGGCCACTTTGCATAGAAAATGAGTGTTTATTCCATAGGGTCTACATGTCCTTAATCGTTGGCTTGTGTTTATTTCAACGAGGGATTGCTATTATAGTTTGATTCACTATTTTAAAATCTTTTCAAGCCCATGCATGTGAGGAAGGATTAAGAGTACATAATTTGAAAGAAACAATTGAGCATCCTTCTAATTAGTATGTACTGGAGTATATTAGAATTTTATTTGAGTTTTTGAGATTGTTTTTAAATTCCTTAGGTTCTTAACATATCCATGCTTCCTTTGAGGTTTTCAAGCTAGCATTTTCTTACCGTCACACTGTCTACCACCCAATTGGGTTTAACTTATCTGCAAGCCTCAGAATTTTCAACGCTTTAGGGTGGAAATGTTTCAGATTTCCAATAGGTCTAATCAGTCATTCTGCTGTGGATTATGGAACCAATCAGTAGAGAGAGTTGCTCTGTTTTTTAAGATGCATAGTTTGTTGCAGATATTCTTGTATAAGATTTGGATAAAGCAGGCTTCTTATGATAGTGCATTATCTCTAATTTTTGTGCCACTTATGGTAAAGCCTTGTTTACTTGATTGCAGAATTGATGGAGAAACCCTAAAGTCTATTGCATCACATTGGCCACCTCAACGCTGGCAGGAATATGAACCACTCTTCACTTACTGTCGTGATAATGGAGTTAGAATTGTTGCTTGTGGCACTCTACTTGAGGTGATTATGCATTTCCTTTGAAGCTATGTGTTTGATATATTGCTATGTATCTTTATGGTTAGAATTAGCACTAGTGGATAATAGATATAGAACAAAGAAATAAAGCATGCGGCCTGAACTAGATGGAATAAGAGAGCTTGAATTGATATATCAAATATTCAAGTCTGACCTCTATATCAACTTACAAGTATGCATCTTTAATGTCAATGTTAAGTTGGAGATAACAATCACAAGTAACATGCTACCTTTTCTATCATTTATGCTAAAACATTTTTATTGACGAAATGTTCTGGTAACCATAACAGTTGCACCTTGTCATAACTAATAATGCTGTTATCCAGTGAAATATTTTCTAAGAAAAGTTATCACATTTATATAACGAAGTTAAATAATTTATTCGTGTAAACTTCTGCAGTTTTGCTATTTTTATATATATTTTGATTTGGTAGATTTTTATGAGGATTTTATAATTTACTATTAAGATAAATCTCTATCTAACAAAAAGGAGTAAACTTCTTTTTCTTTTTTTTTTTTTATAGTTGAAGAGTTACCATATATTCTGAATTTTTCTTCTATTAATTAGTCAACTTGCAGAAGAGTCTTTGTAGTACATATAGAGAATTTCATCCTAATCATGATATAGCTATTTGCCTAGGTCTCGAGGACTGTTCAAGCTGAAGGTATTCGTGGTCTTTCTAAAGCTGACTGTAAAATTTATGCTCCTCCAGCTGGTTCAGGATTCATTTTAGGCTTTACTTCTATCTCGTGTAGATCATCGGCTGATATTAACTTTCCTAACCTGTAGGAACCCACACTTCATGTCCTCATCATGTTTATATATATATATTGCTTCCGCACTTGTGAGCCCCGTATATTGTACTCTGATTGTGTGTGATTTTTGTAAGACGGCCTTCGGTAACCTCGGGTTACTGGCCATCACGGCACCAAACTACTAGGGGCGGTTTGGGGGCGTGACATAACCAGTCTGCTTCTTTTGGGCCAAGTTCATATCTATCTGCACAAGCAAGAGTAGTGGAGGAATACACAATGTCCCAGGTCATCTTGTGAGCGATGTCAAATGGAGGAGCCACTGGTATGCTAGTAGTGGTTACTGGTGCAAGCCATGTTACATATGGGTCAAGGGGGACTGGGCTACCAGCAAGAATTTCAAGGAAGATACCAACGAAAAATCATGTTGTTATCTTACTTAACCCGGAAGGGCAATACATAAGAAGGGAGGGAGAAGTTCCTCTTGCTGATCTCTTATGGTGTTCTGCTGCCAGACCCTGTAGTAGGAATTGTTTTGATCGTGCTGAAATTGCCCGATTGATGAATGCAGCTGGCAGGAGGAGAGATGCCCTACCCCAAGTAAGTTGTTTTTGAGAGTCTTCTTTGAGATAGCATAGCTTCTATGTGTACTTTGACCAACTATCTGCACAACTGATGTGATTGATTTTAATGATCATAAGGTTTTTAGGGGCACTTTTTCTGGATACAATATGAATATCAAGCAAATAGTGGAATTAATATCCTTCAATAAACGTAACTTTTTCAAGATCTCTCTGCCTTGTTCTCCTTGGTGATGTATTCTTTCTTCTTCTTCCCCTTTTGTTTTCTTCTCTCCAATTGATCTCTTTTGATGTAATGTTTATTATTGATCCAAAATTTACGTGTGCTTTTTTGTGCCTTTTGTGTGTGTGTGTGTGTGTGTGTGTGTGTTTTTACGTGTTCATTATGTGTTCATTACTCTGCCAATTTATGTGTTCATTACTCTTCTTTGTGCTTTTTTTTTTGGGGGGGGGGTTATAAAAGTGAGTGAATTTCGGCCACTATGTGCAATATTACTATATAACAGCATATTTGTAAACCATGAATCAAGAATTGTAGTCTGAATATGTTTGGTGTCACTGAGATTGAAGGGTATGAAACAAAGATTAAAGTGAGCAGCTCAAGTGGATCAATAAATAAATAAAACTTTATGTTTGCTGGAGATGGTGTCTATTGTTCCAGATGGGATAGGGTGTTTTTTTGTCAGTTACTCGTATATGGATGGAATAGTCAATAGTTGGAATGAAAAGGGTATTTTGAAGGTGACAATTTACTGTCTGTCTTATCTTCTCATATACAGAAAACAATTCTTTTTCTTGTCACTCATTAAGGTTCTATTCTGCAAAATATTTGTTAAAGCAAAGTGATGGAAACGTTATATCAATGTATAAGATAAATAAGTAATGGGAATTAATAAATCCTGTATTTTATGGGAATTTCGTCCACCGGAATTTACAGAATCACTCTAGTTTTAACCAGAAAGAAACAGAAGTTTGTTTTTGCCTTAAAATTATGAAAAATGCTTCGGAACACTAAAAGGAGATCACTAAAGGGAGCACTAATGGCAGTGGGCCCCGCCCACTTTCTATGCCTTGTTTTTATTTTTTTATTATTTTTTTTTGTCATTTCTAATGTATTAGTGCTATTAGTGATGTATTTTTTAGTGGTCTAAATCATTGTTGTAAAATTATTATATTTTTTTGTTTGAAATCTTTGTTGCAGGAAATAATGCAACATAGGCTTGACTTTATTGAGACTCAGGATGTGGTGGAAACTACACTGGCTCTTAATAACTATAGCAAAGCTTGTGATTGTGGGCAGGGTGCTGTCTTTTTCTCTGTTGCCAGGTAGACCTTCCCACTTTGACAGTTCAACTTTGTTGTCAATTTTACAAAATTTGAAAGTAGGAATATGTGTTCATTACTCTGCCAATTTATGTGTTCATTACTCTTCTTTGTGCTTTTTTTTTTGGGGGGGGGGTTATAAAAGTGAGTGAATTTCGGCCACTATGTGCAATATTACTATATAACAGCATATTTGTAAACCATGAATCAAGAATTGTAGTCTGAATATGTTTGGTGTCACTGAGATTGAAGGGTATGAAACAAAGATTAAAGTGAGCAGCTCAAGTGGATCAATAAATAAATAAAACTTTATGTTTGCTGGAGATGGTGTCTATTGTTCCAGATGGGATAGGGTGTTTTTTTGTCAGTTACTCGTATATGGATGGAATAGTCAATAGTTGGAATGAAAAGGGTATTTTGAAGGTGACAATTTACTGTCTGTCTTATCTTCTCATATACAGAAAACAATTCTTTTTCTTGTCACTCATTAAGGTTCTATTCTGCAAAATATTTGTTAAAGCAAAGTGATGGAAACGTTATATCAATGTATAAGATAAATAAGTAATGGGAATTAATAAATCCTGTATTTTATGGGAATTTCGTCCACCGGAATTTACAGAATCACTCTAGTTTTAACCAGAAAGAAACAGAAGTTTGTTTTTGTTGTAAAATTATTATATTTTTTTGTTTGAAATCTTTGTTGCAGGAAATAATGCAACATAGGCTTGACTTTATTGAGACTCAGGATGTGGTGGAAACTACACTGGCTCTTAATAACTATAGCAAAGCTTGTGATTGTGGGCAGGGTGCTGTCTTTTTCTCTGTTGCCAGGTAGACCTTCCCACTTTGACAGTTCAACTTTGTTGTCAATTTTACAAAATTTGAAAGTAGGGACCTGAACAAAAGCCACCTCTTTTGGCTTCTATTTGGGTTCTGAAAAGAAGATAGAAAGCTGTAAATCGATAACCTAGAAGGGAGGGGAGAAGAGAGAGGGTTCAAAAGGGAGACTAGTGTAGCCGCCGCCCTACTCTTCTTCCTTCTAATCTCCGCCGCCTCATATCGACCCCCAACCGCCTCAGACCTCCTCTAATGGAGGTCCATGCTCAGGCCAAGCGAGGCTTCTCTGTCAAAGAAGACGAAGTAGCTTCACGTAAGCAACTCCAATTCGTCCCCTCTTTGTTTCTGTTTTTGTAATGCGTGTTCTAAACTTGTATTCACTGATTAACACTCAATCGAATCACTTGAAATCTAAATATTTACAAAATTTATGTTTTTTTATAGCTGCAATGCAATTTATCATTAGTAATTGTGCATATAGGATTGGGGTTTAATGCCCTGTTGGGTTTCCGAAAAAATTCGAAAGGACTAAATGTCCTGGGGAAAAAAAATTGAAGAAACATGAAATAAATTGTTTGCTGCCAAGAAATAGAAAGATGGACTTCTTTTTTTTTTCCTTATTGGCAACCAAAAGGAGGTTAATAATAATTTTTGAATGAAAATAGTAGACCTCTAATTCCGTGGTGATAATTTATTTTTTTGTTCTGATCCATTTGTTACTTTTTTTTGTTCTTTTTATTTGTAGCTGCTGATCTGAGCTTTGAGGCACCTCTCAAAATTGTGGAATACCCAGACCCTATACTAAGAACCAAGAATAGGCGAATTGATACATTTGATGATAATTTGAAGAAATTAGTTGATGAGATGTTCGATGTAATGTACAAGTAAGATTTCTTAACTATGTATTTGATACTGACAGTACGGATTTCTCTATTGTTGGTCAAGAGCATTTGAGTTGGAGTTTCTCGTACCCTGAAGATATTTTGAAACTTGAATTTTAATATGAACTTCTGTTGTATAGTATTATAGTTTACATCACTGACCTATTAGGTTGTGGCATACTTCTGAGTACTAATCTAAATTGATCAGGCACTTTTTGCCAAAAGTAATCATTTGTGTTGCTTTTGAAACTTCCAAACTTAATTTCCCTTTATACTTAGCTTCAGATAATTTTAAGGCTAAGCAAGAAATGCCAACAAGTTGATAGATATTGTAATCCACCAAAAGGTGCCATTGGTGTACAACTTACGTACACATTTAAACAGGCATTGTATATGTTACACACTTATAAGCAATTCTATTATTTACAGGAGTGTGAACAATACTTGTTTCATAATTTTAAATATTTATTCACAATCTGTTTGCATTTAGCTATTGAGAGAAAAAGCTTGTGGTTTAGTCCAACCTGATCCTTATTGCTATTAACTCATTTTACTTGTTTCAGGTTAGCAATCGAAGATTACACAGATGGTTAAATGATCACCTATTGATGGAACTTGTTCCTCGTTTGAATGCAGAAGAGATTAGAGGCTTATTTGCTCCACCACCTTGGGGTGAGACTGCTTCATTAGCCTTTTAATTATGTGAAAATGGAAACAGGCCAATCTCATAGATCAGTGTTGATCATGGCAGAGGTATAGTGGTTAAGATGAGATGTAGGAGTAATGAGATCATTTAAAAAGTGACCATAATTTTCTTTTTGTAAAATTTGGGGTGTGTGGAAAGTGTGGAATTGGACGACATGGTTTCGCTTTGAAGTCGAAATTGTGTTCGTGAGATCACTTTTAAGTTGGTGCTCCTTTCTTTGTTGTTAGCCTTTCTTTTGTGTTGTTATGTGGTTTGAACTTATTGAGACAAAGTTTACCCATGTGGGCATTACTATTCTTTCCTCATATATACAAATTTGTAATAATAATGTTAAAATTGTTCGAAGCTGCTTAAATAATAATGTTCTTTTCTCCTTTCTTTGTTGTTAAGCATTACTGTTCTTTTAATATATTTTTCTCAGTAAATAGTTCGAAGCTGCTTAAATAATAATGTTAAAATTGAGTTATGCTTTTGATTTTTATACAGGTGAAAAACTTCAGGGTCGATGAGCTGATGGAGTTTTACAAAGTGAGTCCGAATTTATGATTCTTCTGTGATTTGAAATGATGAGCCTACGGCTTTTATCTTTAAATTGTGATAATGTGGTATTTTGCAGGATTCTTATAATGATCTTTGATAGTATTTATGTATTTAGTTTTATAATAGATCTTGAAGACATTGTCACATTGCCTTGACACATACCACCTATATTTGGCAGTCAGATTTGAAACTGAAGAAGTTCCTGCACATAATTGAGAATTCACAAGTGTATCCTGTTTTGTATGATCACAACAGGTATTTTGGTTTCTTGATTACACTTGTTTCACCTTAATGAGGTACTACATTTTCTACTCATTGCTATATTTTATACTTTCCTACTTGATTCATTTAGAAGCTTTAACTTTTCCATTTATTGGAGGACTGACATGTCATTACAGATATACTGGGGCTGAAGCAGTTCCCTTTTTAGTTTGATTGCTTCTATTTCTTTGATTTTTGTGTATCAAATTGATACTTGAGATGTGGATTCTTAATGCTTTGTTTTAATACTCGACCAGTCTGTTATTTATTGCTTTGTTGTATGTTTTGTTGTGTTAATTATTATTTAAGGTTTATTATATCCCATTTAGAAACTTCTAGTTTCTATACTGCCAATGAAAAAACTTTTAGCTTCTATTTATGTTCCATGACAACACCCCAATGAAATGCAGTTTGGCTAGAAAACAAATAATGTATTCACATGACCTGTTCCTGCCTTCAGGTCACTGGTTTGTTAAATAAAATGCAATTGCATGCCAAGAAGTCTGACTCAGCAGAAAATAGTTTTCAATATTGGAGCCAAACACATCCTTAGTTTTTCAAAGAAAGGTTTGATTTGAACTATTTCACTTGCACGAAGTTGAACAGTAGGTTGCTTGATGAATTTTGGTTCTTGTTGCTGCATATGTTTGAATGATCCAGGGAAAACAACTATTGTGAAGAGGCATCTCACTGGTGAATTTGAGAAGAAGTACGAACATAAGTGTATCAGTAAAAACCTGTTCTTTCTTGGGTTTGATTGTTTAATTCTTCTTTAGATTCAATTCCCACTTCTTTTTCTTTTCCAACCTTGAAGGCTTTTTAGTCTATTGCATTGGTTTCAAATTTTTGTTAATTAGAATCTCTTGGTAAGGACAAACCAACAAGTAAGAATATGTATCATTGAAATTACTTATAAAAAAAAAAATATATATATATATATATATCATTGAAATTGAGAAAAGGAACATGAAATACCTGTTGGAAAAATGGTTAATATAGGCATATTTTGGGCTAACTTTGAGTCCAAAATTGAGTGGGCCCCGAATGTCTTTTGGGACGGGTCCGAAGAGGTAAAGTGTTCCTTGCCGCGTGGCAAGTCACATGGTGAAGACGGTTCATCAAAACCATTTATGAGTGAATGGGAACATGACGTCGTTTTCGGGTTCGTAGAATTGAACATTGAAGTTTTGAATGTGGGTTTCCTTGTGAGGCTTGTTTCACATTGAAACTTGAACAGAGTTTTGTTGAGTTTATAAGCTCTAGCCTACAATACTTGGGTTGGGCCTCAAGAGGCACCCCAAGTTTGTAAAAGGGGGGAGTTATGGACAAAGTGAACCTTACCCTAAACCACTACGCGCGCGCGCCGCCGCCGTCCGACCGGCCGAGTTGGACAAAATTCATTTGAATTTTTTCAAAATAATATTGCGAGAATTTAATTCAAAAGACAACTTCTGTCCGAAATTCCTCAACAAATTTAAACTGGTTTTCAGTTATTTAACTTCCAGAAACTGCCCAGCAGTTCCGAGTATAACTGTCCAGTAGTTTATCTGTTGAAACAGTTTGCAAATCTGTTTGAATTCAAACAGCACTCGTTCAATTCAAATACCCATCTGTTCAGTTCAAAATTCTGCACCTGTTCGGCTCTATATATATCAGCACTGTCCAGCATGTTTTCCAATCCGAAAATCAGTCTGAATTTGGTCTCTTTGCTGTTCATTTCACTACAGGAAATGCCACTTTTGGCGACCAAAATATTGGTCGCCAAAAGCCCCATTTTTGGTCGCCGAAACAATTAGCGACTAAAATATTTTGTCGCCAAACTAGTCGCCTAAACCCTGTCGGCGATAGTATTGGCGACTAAACTATTTTTGGTCGCTGAAAGTGAACATTTTGGCTACTAAACTCTGGTTAGTAGGCAAAGGTTATATTTTGGCGACTAAAATATTAGTCGCCAAAAGTGAACATTCGGCTACCAAAATCTGAGTAGTCGGGAAAGGGTATATTTTGGCGACTAAATATTTAGTCGCCAAAAGTGTTCAAATAAAATAAATTAAATTTTCAGCGACTAAAACTTTTTGTCGGGAATAAGTTTTAGTCACAACATTACTACATTTAGAGACTAAAGAATTTAGTCGCCAAAAATATTATTTTTCATTTTATTAAACTTTTGGCTACTAACCATTTGGTAGCCGAAAGTCTTCATTTATTTTTATCTACTAAATTTTTAGTCACCAAAAATCTTTGGATTCTTTATGGCTATCAAATATTTAGTCACTAAAAATATTGATTTCCTTTTTAGCTACCAATTGGTTAGTCACTAATAAATTCACCTTTTTTTTTTTCACTACTAAACATTTAATTTCCAAAAACTTTATTTAGTGTTTTTTTTATTATAATTAATTTATTCACAACCTGTATTTATTTCGTGCAACCTGCACCCTGTATTTAAACAAAATAATACATATATCTATTTCTATTTCGTTTCAACAATACAAAAATTTGATCTTTTAACATCAAATTCTATACAAATCAAATACAATCCAACCCAAAATAATAATTCCATACAAACACAAAATCATACAAAAAAGATGTCCTCTGTACAAAAAATTCTACATCAAATGTCATTTACAGAATATTTTGAAGGTGTAAAAAATGCGGATTATAAGCAGCAGGGCCTAGGCATCATATAGTTCTCAGCAGCAAGGTCTTGAGACATTTTCCACTGCATCTCCGCAGCTGAAATGCATCCAAAGTGTGAAACAGAATGATGTCAGCATCATGAAGGCTAACAAAGCTAATTAACTGAGACAGATATATATATTCCCCAAATCCCAACAAACTAACTCTGAGAGATGTCTCAAGGGATATACAACAAAACAACAAATATACCATTCAAAGGCAACCGGGGTTTCTTCTTTTTCTTCTTCTTTCCTGACAAAGCCAAAATCTACAATGGTAGTGTTCACCCCGTACAAGGTACCAGTCGAGTTCAAATTTGTTACCAAATTCATTGTTGGTCCGATGAGTCTCTCATCACAATGATAGAAAACATGAGAACTGGTGCATAACCCCAACTCTGAAAAGAATAACACAAAAGGTATAGAATTAAAAATTATTCAAAGTACCAAGAAAAAGTGCAAATGATAATCAATTCAACAATTGCTCACCAATGCAAGAAGTTAAGTTTAAAAAGGATAGGCCAAACTCTAGTCAAGTAAAAGTGCAATATACATTAACAGAGCTAAACAAAAGCATACCCGTTATCTCCCTGCCCAGCCTCATTTACAACAACATTCAAAGCATTAGATGATAATGAATTGGCCACTGTTAAAATGTGAGTAACATTCAAGTTTTTCAATGCAAACAATTAACTATATCTCCAATTCGATTCATTACTACTAAGGAAACTTTACAAATACATCTTCTTTTGAAACTTGTTGGATCAATTTCATCAATTCAAGTTCTACAATAGAAAAATACATGTTCATCCATAAAGAACATCATTCTAAAGTTGTAACAAGCATAAAAGCATTTGAGCCTAGAATAATTACCAACAAGATACTAATGCATAATAAAAATAAATTCTAAAACAGTTTTGTCGCACTTAGTTCATCATTTACAGAATACCAAAATTATAATTTTGCAGTTTGATAGAAGTATCTTAACCTTGATCAAATTGAAATGAAAGAATTGAATCAGTAAAGGAACAAAAACATAAAAAATAAAAATCATGGAATTCAATAACTCAAAAAATTATTTCCTTCAATCAATACATCTTTCACAAAAGAGTCAAACAAACTACTAAGCTTATGTGGGCCATCAAAACCACAATATAGCTGCAAACGACTATTGCCACGCCTATATCTAGATTTTAACAACTCTCTTCTAATAATGTACCAGTCTCAACTCAACCTAACTTTGACTCATGAATATGATGCAGCCAAATGTTGATATATTACAAAACATAAAAGAAAAAAAAAATCCTAATTTTCAAATCAAATTTGAACAATGTATTCTCAACTCAAACACTATATACTATTTCTCTGAAATGGATCTGGCTCGAGCGGTTACGAAAGAGAGAAAGATTAAGAATGATTTTGTTTGAATTACCTTAGGAGAAGGAGAGAGAGGAGGATTAGAGTCGCAGAAGAGGTAGTGAAAGAAGGCTTCGAGATGAAGACCTTTGCGATGGAAGATATTGAGGTGTTTGAGTTCATTGAGAGACTCCATGATCAACTCTATGTCTTCTTTTGTGGCTTTATCTTCTCCCTCAACCTCGATCAAGAACCTGTGAAGGTGATCGACGGTCATGATTCCATTTTCGGAGTAACGGTCGAAGAGGTCTCTGATCACTACAAAAAAAATCAATCAACTTCAAAAGTTTTATGAGGAATTGATTGAAACAATGCGAGGCACTTACCAAGTGAGCTAAAATACTACCAAAGTTCTATGAGGACTTAATTGAAACAATGTGAGGCACTTACCAAGCAAGCTAATTTACTACCAACTTGCACAGACAAATCAAATGTTCTTAATCTAGCACCAAAGAGATACTTGTGATCTAAACCAAAATTCAATCTAGGTCCATTAGAAGTTCTATAAGGAACTGTTTGAAACAACACGAGGCACTTACTGAGTAAGTCGGCTTCAATGCATGAGCAGCGGCAATGTAAATTGCAGATGGGCTGAATAATTCATTACATGAAACTTCTTTTACATTGACTGATCCCCCAGTTCTTGACGTGTCCTCTGCTAATCCATACTGCAAACATAGGACAATAGCATAGATCATTCAATTTGTTTGTAGAATGGATAGGACAAAAAAATTATAACTTATTTATGTACATCTATCGAAGCAAATCCGATGTTACTAAATAGCTATCGTACCTTATTGACTGCGGTTTTCACAATTGCTTGCTTTTCTCGTACAGGAACAATTGCACTGAGTTCCTAAAAATGCCCATTTATAACATGAAACTAAATGAAAGCTCCAACATAACCACATAAATTGCAAAATAAAACCTTTGTGTAACTGCTCTCAAAATAGAGAATACTACTTGAATGAAAAACAAAGTTGATTCCAGGCAACTTTGTTTAACTAAAAGTACCTACAGAGCCAGTCCCCAGTTGTTGAGTGCCTAGAAAAAAAATTATTTATCATGAAGTTGCCACCAATATTTTAAACATAAACATATTCACAAATTCTCAAGCAAATCATCCAAGAGTTAATGATAGAAAAATGGCAGTAGAAGATAACACTAGAATAGAAGAAAAGGACGAAACTGTGATGAGCAAGATTTTAGGGTTCCAATTTTAAATGGAATAAAAATATTTAATTTCACAGTTCTAAAAATACTTGCCTGGGGACTGTTCCAATTGAGTTGGACAGCTTTTTCATAGTTTTTCGTTGCCTGCAAATTGGAAGAATAATATTACACTTTAGCCACTCATGTGCCATTCTTTCTCAATGATGAATAGCTGTTAGTTTTAATTCAAAAGAGGATTGCATCCATTGCAGACTAGAACAGCATAAGACAAACAATTTTGCAGAAGGTGCCATTAGATCTTTTCAATGTCACAACGGCACCTAGTGAACTTTATAATAATACTTAATATTATGAAGCAATATAGTCTCATAAACACAACATTTAGTAGTTCCAAATGCTAAATTTTATATCAATCAACATATAATATGTTGATATGACAAAAGCAGAGCAAAACTAGTTAAATACATGGAAATCAAATAAATGAATTTGATCTTTTTATGTTTTCCACATATGCCACATTTTGTATGCTACTAATTTATCATTATTATGCAGATTGCAGAAAGTAGAACTCAACCAATATTAATATTTTTGAAATTTAAAACCTAGAAAATTAAAAATGATGAAATCTCTTTTTTTTTTGTTTATTGTATTTCTTCTTCTACAAATCTTAAAGTGTCATTTTTCTTCAATTATAATCTCCTTA